GTGCAACTCGATCCATATACATACAGCCCCCAGGCTCGTTGCGGCGTGCAACCCGATTCATATATATACCTATAGCTCACAGATCGGTACTCAGGCCCTAACTCAGTCACCAACCTCTCCAGTCTCACGGGTTCTCAGAAATCATAAAGATCAGCCCAAACAAAATAACATAGTGTATCAACAAGAATCAATAAGAGACTGAGATATGATGCGCAAGTAAAATCATGACTGAGTACAAGACAACAATTAGCAAATAATTCAATAAGTACGCGGCCTCTGCGAGTCCTAACAGTACTATCACATAGCCCAAGCATGATTTCTAACACGATTTGCAGTCAAATGTCTATAACACAGAGAGAACATGTAATTAACAATAGTCTATTCGACTTTACAATCTCACGGGATGGACCAAGTCACAATCCCCCATGGTTCACACCCACACGCCTGTCACCTAGCATGTGCGTCACCTCTAAAATAGTCACATCATACCAAAATCCGGGGTTTCATACCCTCAGGACCAGATTTAAAACTGTTACTTACCTCAAACCGTAAAAATTCCTACTCCGCAATGCCCTTGCCCCTCGAATCAATCTCCAAACGCCCCGAATCTAGCCACAAGTAGTACGATATAATTAATATAAGCTAAAAGAATTAATTCCACAAGAAAAACATGAAACTTTAAGCCAAAATCTGAAATAGGCTCAAACTCGGCCCCGGGCCCACGTCTCAAAATCCGATAAAAGTCACAAAACCCGAAATCCCATTCACTCACGAGTCTAACTATACTAAATTAATTAATATCCGACATCATTTGGTCCTCCAAATCTCCAAAATTCACTCTCCAATTCTCAAGCCATAAACCCCCAAATTTCACTTCAAAATCTCGCTAATTAGGTGGGGAATCAAGATTTATGATCAAACATGAGTATCAGAAGCTTACCTCAATAATCCCTTCGAAAAGCTTCTCCAAAATCGCCTAAGTCAGAGTCTCAAATGGTGAAATAAGACTAAAATCGCGAACCCTTGCTTTTTAAACCTTTTGCCAAACTTTTCGCATCTGCGGACCCACTATCGCAACTGCGACACTGCACCTGCGAAAAATCCATCGCAGGTGCGGATTCTACTTAAAATCTCAGATTCCGCTCCTACGACTTCAAGACCGCATCTGCACCTATTGCAGGTGCGGAAACCCATCGCATTTGCGGCTAAAACCCGCACCTGCACCCAGCTGCCCGCTTTTGCGACCATCGCAGGTGCGGAAAAATCTTCGCTCATGCGGCTTCTGCTCAAATCCTCCTTGGCCGCTTCTGTGGTCCCATCTCCGCTTCTGCGATCTCGCACCTGCGGTGCCCACTCCGCTGGTGCGGTTACACCAGTAGCAGCAACACTTCAATTGCTTCATCAACTCAAAAATCAAGTCCGTTAACCACTCGAAATCAACCCGAGGCCCCCAGGACCTCAACCGACATACCAACTAGTCATATGACCCAATGCAAACTTAGTCGAACCTTCAAATCACCCAAAACAACATCAAAACACCGATTACACCCGGATTCAAGCCTAAAGAACTTCTAAACTTCCAAATTCCACAAACGACATCGAAACCTATCAAACCACATCCGATTGACCTCAAATTTTGCACACAAGTCGTATTCAATATTACGGACCTATCGGAATCCGACCCCGATATCAAAAAGTCAACCCCCCGTTCAAACTTTCCAAAGATTCGACTTTCGCCATTTAAAGTCTAAATTAGCTACAGACCTCAAATTCACAGTCCAGACACACTCCTAAGTCCAAAATCACCCAACGGAGCTAATGGAACTAACGGAACTCCATTGCGGAGTCGTCTTCACACACTTCCGACTACGGTCAAAATTCTGAGATTTAAGCTTCCGTTTTAGGGACTAAGTATCCCAAAATACTCCGAAACCAAAAACAGAACCTCCCGGCAAGCCACATAAACAGACACAGATACAGGAAAAGCAGTAAATAGGGGATCGAGGCTAATACACTCAAAACGACCGACCGGGTCATTATACTTGCCTTGCGGTACCCTTTTTGTACCATGGATAACTGAATTTCTTACGCACGAAGGTGACACCTAGTGTAACTGGCACACTTAGTCCCTTAAGCTTAACTCTACTCACAGTCTTGCTTCAGGGAAGCGTTTCCTGAATGGCCTTTAAAGGTTATTCTTTTGTTGTCCATTCTATTATCGCCGGAACGCGATCTCTGACATTCTCACGATGTCGACTATTATCAAATCCTTCAGTCCCGAATTCATGTTCAGTTTATCTTGTTCACTAGCCTATACCAATTTCTATTACCCCGTAGATCTAACTTTTCCTTCTGGTAATCACGTACAAGTCACCAACTCATTTCTTGAAATGAGGATATGACCTTTGGCCTATACTCTTTTATTGTCTCAAGGCCTGTCACCTCTTGTCTTTTCCTTCACTTGACTATAGACTTTGTCATTGTGTCATATTTTGATTTATCATTATCACCCATTTATCACATCTCACTACTCAAAGTTGCACGACGAGAATTGTTCTTGTATGTTTTTCTCTTAATTTTGTGGCTTCTTAAAAGTATTATTTTCACCATGGATTTTCATGTCAATTGGACATATTTATAACCTCTAAAAATCCTTTTCACTATGTCAAAGGAAAGGTTAGAGGCGGTGAACTTTTGTAAAATTCTAAACCGAAAGTAAGTTGCTATTGTAAAAAAATTGAATCCGAGCTGCCCACATGTTGGACTTTCCAATACAATTCAAATTTGGATTCTTGTCTAAATCGAAAGTAAGTTTGCTATTGTTGAAAAATTAAATCCCATTCTAAATGAGATTGTGGCTGCCTATATGTTGGACTTTCACGTGAATCCAAATTCACTTGACAAAGTTTCCACCAAGCTTCTTTCTTAATTAATATTTTATATAACATCTCTTATATAAAATAAGTATTAATTATATATATCACATATATATCTTAACCAAGAGATACAATTTAATTTTCTATTCCAAATAAAAAACTTTAATTTGATCACAATATTAATTATATTCTGTGCTAGCAAAAAATATAATAATATTTCATTTGGACTAATAACTAAATTTATTTGACTAATTAAATTCTTTAATTTAATTATCAAATAATAAAATAATTAATTCTTTAGCAAAGATCAGAACACTCGTTAGTGTGCGACCCCATAGGTTCAATACTAAGTCGGTAGTAAATTGATCACATCAATATACTAATCAAGTGTGGCGTCTAGCAACACTCCTCAACGACCGGATAGAATAAAGTATACAATTTACTCTCAGAAATGAGTAGAAGAATAATATAGAAAATATTTCTGTCCTTATAGCTCTGGGTCACCCTAGGATATGGTTTAACTGTCAAATCCTAATAGGTGACCAACTATGTGTTCATGTCAAATATTATCGACCATTGAATGACCTAAGAAACTCTTTTCTTCTTTCATTCAATTGCCCTGGCCAAGGTCTTAGTTTGATCGTTTATAATTCATGACAACATGGAGCTTAAGCTCATTACCAATAGTTGACAGATTTCATCTCGATCAATCACTAATTCTACAAGTATTTAATCGTACTAAATATCATTTCAACTATCGCCCTAGGGCCAAAGGTGTCTAGTATTAAAGCACAATAAATAACTTGTCAATTACTACGATAATATCTGGTCAAAGAAAACTCTTATATCACATTCTTCAAGAGAATATCCTATTGACAGTTTTATGGTAATTCTAACCATTAGGAATTATCCAATGAGTCGGTTCAATGATCATATCTCTATATACATCATCTATCCATGTGATTTAGTTAATGAGATCAACTAATCTTTATCCAATAAAGACGATCACATAAATATTGATCTAACCGGATTACTAATATCCAAATTAATAATTCTACGATCAAGAACAAATTTAGATTAAATTAAAGAAACTTTACTCTCACTATCATGATCTCCATCACGATGACAAGTCTCAAAATTTAATCAAGGACCTTATTAAATTAATCAAGCAATTAATAATAACTATGATAAACGTATATCAAATGCCATATATTTTTATATCAAATAAGATTCACAAAAATATGTTTAAATCATCAAATATGAGATTGGATCTAGGGCATATCTAATATATCCTAACAGTATATTCCATCCCTTAACATTTATCAACCTCTTTATTTTCTCTAACTGTTGGCTTGCTAATTTACAGTTGTTGATTTTTACTTCATTAATGGCTTCCTCAAGTAGCTTAATTCTGGTCTCCTCGTCAACGGAATTTGATAATTCAGCCCGAAAATAACGATCAAATTCTGGGACACCAATTGCTTTTCGAATGCCTTTGGAGTAATCTGCATTTTTAGGATTGAACATGTTTCTTACCTCGTTGACAAGTCCTTTCTCGACCATTTTGTCCACTCGTTTGGTTAAAAAAGAATTTAGTACGTGCATGGACACGTCCACCCAGAGAAAACAAAAGTTGTACCTGTTAAAAACATAAGTGTTCGTTCTGAGCAAAATAAAATAAATAATAAAAGGCATTATTTGCACCATATAGACCTTTTTGACGCCACTCCCGTTAGTCCAGTGGGCTTTGCCTTGAAATAGGTGGATGAATTATTTTCAAATAAATTTAGCCCACTAGCCTAATGGGGGACATAATTTAAAGTCTGGTCTCAAAAAAGGCTATTTTTACAAATGCTCTAAAAATTTATAAGGGCAAAATACAAATTGAATGGTTCAACAAAATTAATTGTATTTGCTAGTAAAAACAAACATATAAAAATATGTATATTATATGTGTATAATATCCATATATAAATAAAATATGCAATTATTTTTTAGAACAACAACCGTAACAAACCAAATAGTTTCCCACAAGCCGGAATTTGAGAACTACTAAAAAAAAATACAGTTCTCATTGTTTCTAATACTTTAATCTTTTAGATGAAATAATAACATATTACCATAGTACATTGTATATAATTCGTAGGTTTTATCGTAGAAGAGTGCCTCAATGAACGAATTCCATCCTCCGACGATGATCGGAAGCTTCCCACGGCAAGTAATGTACTCTCCGTGGTGATGGGAGCCACCGGCGCCGGAAAATCAAGACTCTCCGTCGACTTAGCCACTCATTTCGGGGAAGAAATTGTCAACTCCGACAAAATACAAGTGTACAAAGGACTTGATGTTGCAACAAACAAAATTCCCGAAGAAGAACGTTGTGGAATACCTGATCATCTATTAGGTGCTATTGATCCTCATAAGGAGTTCACAGCCAAGAACTTCTCTGACATGGCTTCACTTGCTATTAACTCCATCATCGTCGGAGGATCGAATTCGTTCATTGAGGCATAAAATTTTTAGATTGATATCGGATTTCGAGTGGAGCTGTTTGGCGTCAAAGAAAATGAGGGAAGAGAAAGGTTTAGGGGAAGGGATAGAGAGGATGCGTTGGAGAAGGGAGTCGTTGAGGTGGATGACGCCGGTGGGTGATTGTGATCGGAGGTTGATCAGTTCGGAGAGTAATTAAGGCATCAGAGGTATTGGAATGAGTGTATATGGGTGTAAGGAGGAAGAGGAGGGTGATGAGTAAAAGAGATGATGGAGATGGAGAGATTGCCATTGTTAGATTGATGAGAAAATTTTGAAGGGTTTCATTGATGCAGATGTTGTTGAGAGTATATTTGTGTTGGAAGGGCAAGATATGGGTACTTTCATTTTGGGTCGGGTCTTATTGACTGAGTAAGATTTGTATGTGGATACACAGATTAAGAATGGTAACATTGGAAGTTCCGCCAACTATACGAAATTGTACGGTGGAAGTTGTTATTCAAATTGCATTCCTAGACTACTACACTGCAAAATGTATTTGGGTTTTGGATTTTTTCTTTTTAATTCAATCACATTATTAAGACACCAAAATATCTATTTTTAGTGAATTCAAACATAATTATTTATTTTTAATTTCAATACTTCTATGAAAATACGTACTAGTAATTGTTAATTTGTAAAATCATCTCAAGCACTTAAACATTGTCTTTCAGCACTTGGTGTTAAAAGATACTATTGTTCAGCTAAGCTAAACGGAGTCTATTCCTATTTAGTTGAAAAAGAATAAAATCTTGTAACTAAGAGGGAAATGTTAGAATCAATGAAGAGGAAAAAGCAAACATGCAGTTGCGGACGGGCAATCTCTATTGATAAGCTTGATCAAACCTTCTTTTCAAATTCCAATATATAAAATGTCAAAAATTTCAGCTACAATATTCTTCTTTGATCGTAGGGCTGTTTTTGCGCTAAAATCTAACCTTTTGTAAATCTATGGTAACCGGAACTGGTAAAGAGTCTGAAAACAAACATCAATTGCTGAAGAAAAATATATGGAATCACTACTAGAAAATGGCTATTTTTCGACTGTCAAAACAGTTGGAATGTGGTCAGAAAATGCTGGTTTCTGATTACATCCAGACCAAAATAATGCGGTCGCAAAATAGCTAGTCTGAAATAGTTCGCGATCGATTCTGACTGTAATTTGTGACTACGGCAGTCGCAAAGCCAAAATATAAAAACGACTAATTAATGTTGTCAGCTTTGCGACTGACGCGGTCGCAATAAATTAAATTTTTATTTTTATATAAGCTTTCCCACTACGTCAGTCGCAAATATTATAAATAATTATAATTTAATTTAAACTTTTCCACCACAGTGGTCACAAATATTACAATGCCTTTTTATTTATTTTAGTCTTCCCGCCACTATCGTCGCAAATTTAATCCATATTAATTATTTATTTTATTTTTTCACTACCGCAGTCGCAAATCAATTTTAATATTATTTATTTATTTACTTTTTCCACTACAGTGGTCGCAAATGTTCCTGAATCTGAGAAAGTTTTCGAGCATTTGGTGACTATTGTGGTCGGAAAACTGGAATAGTTTTGCCCAATTTCAGCTGTTTTAAATTCACACCAACTGCCAATTAAAAACTACAACAATCAACGAATCAATCCACCATTTCAACTAATCAAACCCATAAAATGCAAACAATTAAAGGAAACATAAACTAACTAAAACATCCAAACACAAGTTACAACATTCAAGCACCATTCAATCAAGTCTAAACATTACAATCATAGTCAAGTCTAAATATTACAATCATAGTTAAGTCTAAACATCCAACCACAACAAATAATAATGTCTCAAACATCACAACAAACTAAAGCTCATCATCCCCATCATCCTCGACATTTTGAGGACCAAATTGAGGTATGCTCATCATAAGTTTCTCCACTAGACCCTGCAACTTGTCAAAATTTGCACGATCTTCTTTCCGTTCCTCCTTCAACTCATCAACTTCTTTTCGTAATACTTTCACCTCTTCTTGATTCTGGGAATAACTCGTATCACTAGACAACAATGCTTCCACTATAATGTGCAAGCTCCATATACACAAATAAATCCAAGATATGTAAACCAATATTACTTAGTGTTATGCCAAATTTTTTTTACTATAATAAACCTATAAAAGTAAAACCTTTATATGAGTTCAACTCCAAGAATATCACTTCTTGAAAGACTTGAAAGCTTTTCATTACTATAAAGGAATACTTCTTTTAGAATAACTTAATACTTTTTGTAAGTAACTATACCATTTTTCATTCCAACTTTCTTAAATATGTTTAAAGTAATTTGGATCAAAATATTTAAACTATATCCCTGAATACTATAACCAAAATAACTCTTTGATAAAGTTTCCCAAAGATGTTTTTCTAAATATGTGGATAGTGCATGTGGATACAACTAGCTTCTCCTCCAAATATTTTTAACTTAAAAAAGAAAATTATTATGGGTATTTGTATACTAACGACTCATGAATAATGTGTATGGGTATCAATTCTAAGAGTGTTCTTCTTATTTGTTTGAAGTAGGTTTCAAGACTATGTCCAAAGATAGGGTGGGTTGAATGGAAATTAGAATCCTTCAATTAGTCCAATATAATCCCAAAATACCCTAATGAATGAGCCCTAGCTCCTAAAAAATATTAACAGCAACAACGACGACAACAACAACAACAACAACAACAACAACAATTATGATTATAATAAAGCGCTTTAGAAGACAGTCCAATGCAACTTCAGACAATTTTCGTTTACCTGTAACGTCCCAACAGTGATAACACAACCTTTTCGACAAAGCACGAGTTTATTTTTACTTAGACAAAGAGCCTAGTAAAACTTTAGTTAGCTAGCTTAAACAGTAAATTAGGATGCGCTCCAGGCAGTGGCGGAGCCACATGCACCAAAGGGGTGTCAACCGACACTCCTTCACCGAAAAATTACACTGTATAGCTCGGTATTTTTAAAAATAATATATATATATATATATACTATATAATGACACCCCTTGACTTCTTGGTGAGTTTGTTTCTTTTATATTTTAACTTCCCTTAATAAAAATCCTAAAAATCAAATTTTCAGCAGAGTGGAAATCAAATTTCCAGCAGTAAAATAATTAAGTTCTAACACTATTGCTCAACCTTAGTATATTAGTTGGCTATAACATGATTCAGTTTGGGGATAAGTTATGAGTATAGATAGCTAAGTAAAAATATATGATTGAGCTTCAACACGAACTTCTTTAAATTAGTCATGATGTTGGACTACATATCTCTGTGAGGAACAATATGCAATAATCTTTTTGATGAATATGTAAGATAGTAATTGAAAAGTTCAAGCTGTTTTAATGTCTCTTTTTGACTATGTGAGAGCTTTAGTTAGATATTACACTTATGGGGGTTATGTCACAACCCAAAATTTATATGTCGTGATGGCATCTATCTCAATGATAGGCAAACCGATAACCTCAATAAAACACTATAATCTTTTAAGTTTAAAAATATAATATTTGAATTCAATAGAAAATTCCACAAATACTGATATAAATACACTCCCAAAACCTGGTGTCACTGAGTACATGAGCATCTAAATGATAACATAGTCTGACTGATGAAACACTATCTCGAAATATAGAACAGTACAAACAACTGAAAGGAAAGAGAGACAAGGTCTGCGAACGCCAAGCAACTACCTCGATAGTCTCCTACAGATAAAAATTCTGAAATCTAGCATCCGCCGTATCCGGAAGTAGCTGGATCTGCACACGAAGTGCAGAGTGTAGTATGAGTACAACCGACTCCATGTATTCAATAAGTAACAAGACTAACCTTTGGGCTAAAAATAGTGACGAGCTCAACAGGTACAGTCCAGTATAGAAATGGAAATAACAGTACAGAAATATAGGCATGCTTTCAAGTTCAACAGTTAAACTCAGTACAAGTAAAATAGATCAATTCTGAATGATATGAGGAATATGACATCTCTATATCTACATGCCAATGTACATGCTGTATGTGATGCACCTCAGTGGAAACCTCGTGTATTCACAATCTCAAATTACTCAATCACGCAGTACTGTATATGGCCAATCCAGCCTAGGGAAGATCCATCCCATATATATATATACACATCAACTGACAGTCAGTCACTCAGTACTGTATAAGGCCAATCCAGCCCAGAGGAAGATCCATCCCCAAATATAAATAAATAAATAAGGCAACTCCATGCCTTGGGAAGTCCATCCCAAATATAAACATCAACTGCGCTCACTGTGGGGGATGCAGACTCTAGAGGGGCTCCTTCAGCCCAAGCACTATATAAAGCCAATATGGCCTACTGCGGCGTGCAGTCCAATCACATAATAATAAAGCCTCTAAGACCTACTGCGGCATGCATCCCCGATCCATATAATAATAAATATAAAGCCGATATGGCATGCTGTGGCGTGTAGCTCGATCCCATAAATATCCTCACAAATGGATAAACACGACTGAGTATGAAATTTATATTTTAAAATAATTAATTCAACAGCAACACGACCCTGTGGGTCCCAAAAATATCGGCACGTAGCCTAAATATGATCTTTAATATGAGCCTCAGCTCAATTTCTCTAACACGTGGGGAACATGTGAATAATGACATGATTCTTTGATTATGCAACTCTACGAAATTTATTTAAGTCACCATTTCTATGATGCACGCCCACACGCCCGTCACCTAGCATGTGTGTCACCTCCAAATAATTCATATAACACGTAATTCAGAAATTCGTACCCTCAGAACCAAGTTTAGAAGTATTACTTACCTCAAACCGTGTAATTGTTTATTCCAATATGCCTTTGCCTCGCGAATCGGCCTCCGAACGCCTCGAATCTAGTCATAATTAATTCGATACAATACAAATTATAGGAATTAATTCCATATGAAAATACTAATTTTTGAACAAAATTTGAAATTCAACTCAAATATTATCAGTGGGGCCCACATATCGGAACCCGACAAAAGTTACAAAATATGAACGTCCATTCAACCATGAGTCCAACCATACCAAATTTACCAAATTTCAACATCAACTCGACCTTCAAATCCTCAAATCTTATTTTCAAATTTTTAGGCCCAAATCCTCGAATTTCACCTCAAAAATACGTAATCTAGTCGAAATACTCAATGATAATTCAATCTTATTAACTAACAATGATCATAAGTGACTTACCTCAAGATTTCCCTTGAATTCTCTCTGAAAAATAGCCTAAACTCGTGTTGGAAATGTCCAAAAATGGAAAAAGCTCGGAACCCTATGTTTTTGTACACTGTCTAGAGGTTTCGCTTCTACGGAAATTTTAACCGCTTCTGCGGTAATTCTTCCTCACCTGCGGAACATTCGCTTTTGCAGTCCCATATCCGCTTCTGCAAGACAAGGACCGCTTCTGCGGACTTCCCCTATGCCAGGTCCCTCCGCTTCTGTG